TTGAGAAGGAAGATAGAATTGTTTATTAATAGAAAATTAGTTTTAGTTCATGATAAAATGGAGAATAGGTTAGAAGGAAAAAATTGCCAATTTAGTTTAGTGAAAAATCTCTTTGAATTGAAACCATCTTGCTATGGTTTCACCGGCTAGCTTGGTGCAGCCCTCCGGTATGAGCAATAGCCTTAATCGGTGAGGCAGACCGCACTTGGGCACCTATAGAGGAAGCCGAGTGATGTCAGATCTATAATTTAGATAGTTTAAATATATGTATATATATATGCTTTGATCTAATAAAAATATCGGCGAGGCTGCCAATATATAAAAAAAAAAAATTAAATTTAGGAAAAAACAGATTTAACAACTATTATCATAGTTAGAAAAACTTAAACCCTTATAATTTTAATTATATCAAATGATGTTATATCAAAAATAAAAGAATTTAAGATATTTATATAATGAAGAAGTTATATAAAGACATACAAGCTGATTTAATCAATACAAACCTAAGATAAGTTCTTAGAATTACAAAAAGCCAAAAGTCTGATATGAAAGTAAGATGTTTGTTTAGCAGTGTTGATATTAGATATATGTTTAATAATTTTAAAATGATTTAATATATAAAATTTTATATATCTAATTTTTTTTAAATTCATTAGATATATGTCCAATGCTAACACTGTTGCTTAGCAAGTTTCAAGTATAGAAATAATACAAAATTTTGATATTACTAAAATAGGTTATACTTGAGGTTAGTATAACTGAATGAGAATTAGATATTTGGCAAGGTATCTTACCAACCAGGCTGCCAGAGCATTGACCAAAAAAAAGAATCTATAAAAGTAAATATCAAAAGACTGGTGTTCTTTTCAGACCATCTGAATTGATAGTTTGAAAAGACTAACTAGAAAGCACTAAAAGTGGAAAGTATTAGATAAACTTAAAAGAAAATACTGAGGTTTGAGTAAACTCTACAAAAACAGAAGTAGGTAACAATAGCAAAAGTAAAAAGCTGCAAGTACTTGTTTTTAAACTCAGTGTAAGTTATATTACCAAAGCCTAAATTAGCTGGATTGTAAGTACAGAAGGCTTTAGCAGGTTTACCCCAAGAATAAATAGTTTTAAGGTAGTTACTAAGATGAGGTTATGTATATAGAAATATATATACAGTTGATGTAGATCTAATACTGCAAAAGTAATCTGTTAAACAATAAATAGTCTTGACCAAAGGGGTCACCTTAAAAAAAAAAAAAATTATTTTATATTGTTAAAAATAACAATTTTTGTTTATATAGATGTTTATATTTATAAATTATTATAAAAATCCATTTCTTTTTTCGCGAATTATTAATTAATGAATTTTGATTTTTATATGTAGTTATGTGATTAATTAAATAAATTTTTTATTATAAATACATAATTAAAATTTCGATCAAAAAAATAGTATATATATATTAAAATTTTGTTAGTTTTCTTTTACCATACATTATAAGCGATAAATTAAATTAAAATATTGAGATTATTTTTGATAGACCATAGATACGCTCTAAAAATTTAAGATAATAAATATTGTAGTTACGTACGTACATACTCGTGTATTTATATATTTTTGATTAATCACTACATAAGGCAGAGTGGATTATGACATCATTAAAATTTATTTTATTTAAACTCTATAATAGAAAGAAAAACAAGTTGTGTTTGCATAATGAGTCAAATAATTTTATCGTTTGGGAGGTAAAGTGGTGGATCCACTCGTTATACATAAATAAAAAAATCATAGTAATCAAGTGATTAGGAACGAATGTTATATTTTTCGATCCACTGATGAGGCCAATTGAATCAATTCGATTCTCGTGTTAACTTTGATATTGTGTGATCTACCACTTTACAAACCCCGCCATATTATCCCTTTAACTTTATAAAAGTCAAAAATTTATTAAATAAATCAATATTAGAATATTAAGTTATTAAGGCGACCAATATATATATAATATATTTTAAAAGTTTGATAACTTTTATTAATACATTTTTTATTTTTGTCTTGCAAAATATTGAGAACCGGGTTTAAAATTTGGTCTGAACCAAACCAAGTTTAACTTAGGTTTGGAACTTATTATATAAAAACCTGATTATTAGGTTTTTAATTTGGAATCTAAAGGTTTTAAAACCTAACTAAACTAAACTAACTTTATCTTTCTATCAGCCACCAACGCTCTGGATAAGGGTGATATTATCTCCTTTTAATAATATTCGACCTAAATTATAATAATAAATTTATAACGATAATAATTAGTGATGGTAATTCATTATTAGTTTTACTCGAAAATAAAACTTTTATAAATAAAATAAACAATAATGCTCATCAACCCAATGTTTTTCGAGTTTTTTTCTTGGTATTTATTTCTTCACTATTGTCTAGTACTAAATTCATGAATTCGTCGAATCCCTAAATCATTAATGAATTAGTGATACATTACAATATAGTGATTGATCATAACAAAATCCTGCTTACAATTATTTGACCTTCAATTCGCAAATCTACTTGTTCGTATAACCAGATTTGTACTCGTGTTTTCTGAGACATGTAAAATTATTTATCATTAAATATTCCAAAGATATTTGATTATTTTATAAGCCTGTGAAAGGCATGACGTGCGTAGCAAAGCCTTTACACTTACATTTTGAAGATATTTGAAGATCAAGTTCTAAAAAACGGGGTATTAAAAAAATTAAGATCAAATTCTAAAACAACGTTTAGTTAAAACTTGAAAGGCGCGATTAACACGTATTTTAAAATATTGCTTACTATGGGTTGGACCATAATCTTCTGAACTTTGGTCGCCATGATTGCTGTCTTGAAACTTGAGCTTTTTTAAAACTTTGCCTTTAGTGCTAAGCAGAACCGAATTTTCTATTCCTCGAGAATTTATACGTGCATGCTTATAGATCTATTATGATTGGGCAATGATTTAGCCCAACCAAAAAAAAAGATCACATGATTAAGAGTTTACGTCTATTGGGAGATCATAGTCTCCGACTATGACTTTTTCGTTCAAAAAATGAATGTTGATAAGCTTTTCAAAATCCCTTCGAATAAAATACCTAGTGGAAAGAATAAGCGAAAACTTTCTGCTAATCCTAATATAGAAGTATTAAAAGCCGTACGTTTACATAATGAAGAACAGGAGGATGGACCTTCCATAGAAAGCAGTGGTAGTTCAAAGAAAAAGGTTGTTCGAATATCGGACGAAGTTGAGGAGCAAGAGTATTATATAGATGATTATGAAGAATATGAAAGACAAGAAGAAGAAGAAGAAGAAGGAGGTCGTTTTTATGGTGGTGGGCTTACTGAAGAGCAAAAACGTATTTTGGACTTGGTAGATCAGGTTGATGTTGAAGAGGTGGGCCGCGATATTTTCGCGTTCGTTAATATTATCTTTATACAATTGATTTCGATTCATTTCTTAATTAACGTCTAAAATAATTTAATTCCCAAGCCAGAAGCTTTAGATGTCGCAGGCGTTCGTAAAATGATTCTTAAACTTGAAAAAGCTATAACCAAGAATCAAGAACTTCGCGTCAAATTCAGCGATGATCCAACAAAGTAAATGATGCATGTTATTAGAACATGAATATAGCATTCTTCTTGTTGATTTATTTTATAATTCTTATAACAACGATATTACAGGTTCATGGAATCTGAAGCAGATCTTGATGAAGGGATCAAACATCTACTGACACTTACCGAAGTACCTGATTTATATTCTCAAGTTGTTCAAATGGGTGCCATACCATCCATTGTTTCACTTTTGAGTCATGAGAATACGGACATTGCTATAGACGTTGTAGAATTATTAAATGAATTGACAGATGAGGACGTAGTTGCAGAAAATGATGAAGATGCTATGAAAGTTTTTATTGACTCTTTGGTAACATAAGGCTTTAATCAAATAGGCTGCCGTCAATAGAAATCAGGCAGATTGATGTTTAAAAAAAACTTAATACATTAACTTTTATAGCCCATATTTCGATGAATTTTGAAGCTATTTTGATGATTTAATAGTCAAAAGAAAGCCTGCGTTCTAAACTTACTTTTGACTATTAAATCATCAAAATAGCTTCAAAAATTCATCGAAATATGGGCTATAAAATTTAAGGTATTGATTTTTTTTAAATGTCAATCTGCCTGATTTCTATTGATGGCAGCCTAAATGTTATGTGTAGGCTTAATTGCATTTATGCAAATATTTATTAGCGGATACATGTATATTTTCATTCTATTAAAGCTTGAAAACCAAGTACTGGAACTTCTGATCCAGAATCTTAGTAGATTAAATGAGGAAGAATCCAATGATAAACAAGGCATTTTCAATACACTGGGTATGTGCTATTTGAAATTAATATTACCTATTCTGGAATCAAATATAGTATAGGTGACCCCTATTATAAATTGATTTGATTTTATTAATGGAGTCACTTATATTATATTATATTTGATCCATTATTCTGTTATTGCTAGCAAATAATTATTATACTAAAAATATGTATGTCGAATTAGGTATAATTGAAAATTTTACGTCATTTGACCCAACATTATCAGAGAAACTTGTAAAAGACACCAATATGTTACAATGGATACTGACGAGAATCAAAGTCAAATCATTTGATTCTAATAAACAGTATTGTAGTGAAATATTAGCAATTTTATTACAAAGTAGTCGAGGTATGCTATAATTTTTTTTTTTTGATGTAATTATTATTTATCAACACCTTACTACATGTTTATTTATATTACACAGCCAATAGGTTAAAATTAGGGGAATTAAGTGGCGTAGATACGTTGCTGCAGGTTTTAAACGTAAGGTTCAATTCTTTATAACCTAAAATATCGTGCTTAATTATTAGTTCTAAAAATGGTATTTAAAATTATTAGACCTATAAACGTAAAGATCCTAAAGATGCAGACGAGACCGAAATGATGGAGAACTTTTTCGACGCATTGTGTTCAGCATTAGCCGAGCCTGAAATTAAGCAAAAGTTTCTCGAGGGAGAAGGGGTTGAGTTAATGCTAATTATGATGAAGTAAGGTTTAATGATTTCAAAAAATTGTTCTTTTGGTCTCACAAAAACAAAAGGTTGATTGTTTTGATCTTTAGAGAAAAAATGATGTCGAGAATGCGTTCCATTAAAGTATTGGATTATGCATTATCCACACCAGAAGGAGCTAATAGTTGTGAAAGATTCGTAGAGATATTTGGACTAAAAACACTTTTTTCTACTTTTATGCGCAAGGTAAAGTCCTACGAACTACTTTTTTTAAGCAAAAAATATTTATGGCATTGAGACAAATTTAAAATTGAATAGGGCTTAAAAAAATTCAAAAAAAATTACAAATCGTTTTCGGAAGCTGAAGAAGAAGGTATCAATGTTATTGTAGTACGAATTATTGTTTTTTGAAGTGTGATTACTAAATCTTTTGTTTGTACTCTTTTAGAGCATATAATTGGGATAATAGTATCACTATTAAAGAACTTACCACAAAACAGTGAACACCGATTAAGGTTATTTGGCAAGTTTGTTGAAAGTGATCTTGAAAAAGTTGATAGGCTACTTGAGATGAGAGAAAACTATGAATTCAAAGTTTCAACGGTAGATAAGGAAATTGAAGAAGAAAAGGAAGTAGGTTCATTACTTTTCTTTGTTTGTCTTTGTTATGTTTTTAATATTGTATGCACTAATTGTTCTGCCAATACATATATGGTTTAATTACGTCAAGGCATTAGAAGATGATGAGATCGATGATGAGACGTTAGACGAAATATATTTGAGAAGATTAAGTGCAGGATTATTTACTTTACAGCTTATTGATCTCACGATCGCATGGATTTGCTACGAGGAACCCATGGTTAGTTTGCTTTGTTTATTGTTAAAAAGGAATATAATCACCTAATACTAGTTTTAGAAACTGTGACAATAATTGTAGCCGATGCTATAATTATGAACGTACCATGCATTAAAAATGTTTGCGGACAATGACTTTTCTTTTTTTGGATGTCACTAGATTAAAGAACGTGTAACAATCCTCTTGAATCGTACTGGACGGAGCATCGCAAATGTGAAAACCGTATTGGAAGGTAGGACTGAATTTCTAGTTTAAATCCTATTAAGGTAGCATCGACAAATTTTTACTAAGCTACATCGATTGGATGTCAAAACAAATCGGATAAAGTAATAAACTTTGCATTAAAGTCGGGATTATAAAAAACATTTTATGGTATACCTAATCTTGCGATTTGATTGGTCAAAAGTTTGTCGATGCTACAGAGTATTTAGGTTTTTGTTGACCTTTTTAGGAAATAAAATTCTTGTATTCTAAATTTGGATGTTGTAATATGTTAACCTTCTTTTATGTCGCAGAATACCATAAAAACTTGGGCGATGGTGATCAAGTTAAGACTGAAAATGTGGAGAAGCAAATGATTGAAACTCTGATAGGTTCCCTGTAATATATGTTTTTTTTTTTTTTTTTTTTTCTTGGATTATCTGTGTTTGTGTTAGAATGGGATCATTTGTTTCAGCATCTAATAAAGATTTAACGTCATTCTGTATTATTATAGCTAAGTTTACATTGTATATATCTCGTGATTTAAACAATGAGCGCATATGCATATCGTTAAATAAATTACTATAAATCGAAAACGCCAAAAATTTATGTAAATGAAGATTCGTAATCTGGTATTACAAAATCGAGTTATATTTGTCGCTCATCCCGGTTAATTTGACGATTATTTCTTTGTATTTACTGTCTTTGTTATGCAATGTATTCCATGCTTCTCTGGACCGTTTTAATTCAGTAAACAAGGCGCTAATCTGTTCCATAATGGGTATGACTGATTGATAACAAGGAAGATTTTAATGATCTTGTGTACCGGCCAAAATTCGTTATTACAAAACGAAGGTGACAGATCACTTGTCTTTATTTTAAACGTTATTAAAAGGCGTCGTTAGAACGGCAGGTTTTGAAGAATAGGGGAACATTTTTTGGTAGTTTGTAGGATCTCAAAATTTTGATAAACACATTAGAAAACAGGTCCATAATTTGTTATTATAAACTCCCAGGAACGTTCCTTCTTTCATTCATACATAAAAGGATTATTTGGCTCTTTGTAACATTTTCACGCTGGCGTGCGCATTCATTTATAGACAAGATCATTTTTATCAATAATATTTTTGTTCTAGCGTGAAAGTTTTTTTTTTCCTTGAAAAAAAACATGATCCGTATGATTTATATTACGCCCGCAGCTTTAATTTTTGTCCTGCTCACATCGTTTTGTGCTGTCCAAGCTGATTTAACGCTATATCAAGATTTTATTAGCGCAAATGCAACCAAGATTAGTAATTCAAGTTCAAAACCTGGATTTTATTATACTGTAGACAATTCAGGATTGCAATTACTAACAGGTTCTAATGATATTGCAGATAATGTTGTGGTTCGTAATTTTTTTTAAAATTTCAAAATTTAAAAAGCCATTTAAATTTTGACTTAATAAATTTCCTACGTATTTTAGGGTATATTATACAATGTCCAAGACCCATGCTCATCTCAATGCCAACAATCTTTACCTGCCATTTCAAATGATCTTAACAACTCGAGGATAGCAGTAATAAATTTAAGTTCCAATTGTCCAGTTAATCAACAAATCATTTCTGTACAAAATTGTGGGGATATTGGAGCAATTATTTTTGGTAGTGAAAGCGATGATTCCTTAAAAAAAGATTCAGTTACTATCACAGTATTAAGAATCAAAACCAGTATGGGAAATAAGCTATTAACTACTATGAATGATACTATAAGTCAAAGTTCCGGATCAGAACTAGTTCACGTAGTAATCATTTACACGCAAGATAGTTATGCCAACTCTTGGAAACTTGCTATAATTATAATTGGCTCATTGCTGGCAGTTTCATTTTTGGTTTCTAGTAAGTTTACATTTTTTTTTTTTTTTTTATAATACGCATCTTGTTATTTATTAAATAAGATATTTATTAAATTATTTTTAAATTTTAGTTTTAATTCACTGTCGTTTATATCAACTAAGACGCCGTGAACGAAGCATGATGATTGCTCAGCATGAAGCTAATATGAATTCTAAATTACAAATTTTTACATTGGATAAATCTATTGTTAAAAATTTTCCTACTAAAACATTTCGAAAGCAAGATAATACCAACCAATCCGATGACCCTTTTACATCTGTTGGCTCTTCTATTGCTTCGTCATCAAAAGATGCCAAAAATAATGGTGACTATTCCAATGATGTATGTGCTATTTGTTTGGATGAATTCCGTGATGGTGAAAAGTTGAGACAATTACCAAAGTGTTCTCACATGTATCATACTGAATGTATCGGTGTGTATATGTTTATTCTTTCTTTAATGACTTATTTTGTTGCAAATACGTATATTAACTTCTTTTTTTTTTTTTAATCTCTATAGATCGTTGGCTTACAACAAAGTCATCACTATGTCCCCTTTGTAAGCAGGAAACTGCACCGCAAGATGTAATTGATAAGAGAGAAAAAAGATTTGCTCAAGCTTTACAGGTTCAATCAAATCTTGATTCGATTTATGACACATCCAACAGTCGATCTAATAGATATAGTAGATACAATAGACACAGTAGACGTCATAGTAGATCAAATTCCAATTCTTCTATTTTCTCACGGATTCTTGATATCTTTGGTTTTGGAAATTCTAACAGTAATGGAAATCGTTCTCACATGAGACCAAACAACGGAAACGTGATTGCCATTCAAGAACTTTCTCCTGCAGTCATTCGTTCTGATAATACTTCGCGCATGGTATAAACCTATGCTCGAAGAAAATTTAAAAAATCCGTGGTATCAAACACATATAAACAATCTATATATATATATATAGATATATATATATATATATACAGTCGGCTCTCTCTAAATGCAGGTTATATTAAATTCTCTCTAAATTGCAGATTTAGTTTCGGTCCCAAGCTAAGGTTATAATAAACGTATAATCTCTAAATGCAGGTTCTCTTTAAGTGCAGGATTTTTTTTACTTAAGAAAATTTTCTAAGTCCCGGCAAGCTGCACTTAGAGAGAGTTGACTGTATATATACATATATATATTCTTACATCATCAACATTTCATCTAAAAAAGTTGTATATTGTAATTCATTTTAGCATTTGCATTTATATAAGCACATATATAGATTTTATTAGTCAAAAAAGAGCATTAGTATGTACATTGATGTAGTTTATACGTATAAATATTATGCATATTTTAGCATTTCCAATCCAATCTGTGTCTTGATCTATAAAAAGCACGGGTTTTCACCATCTTCATTTTTTTTTATTCTGTCGTTATCGTTATACATACATATATCGTCATTTCATCTCATTTTTGCAGTTATACATATTTATCATGTTCATTCTTTCCTATATAATACTGATCATTTCCACTTTCCTTTTAACTTTTGACATAATCTTTTGCCAAATATCTTTTATTGTAATTTTCCCCACTTCAAAAAAATTTCATTCTTTCCTTTTATATGTAATATGTTTATGTTTGCCTTACTGACAATTAAAATTACACCTGCACTTTTACATTTAAAAAAAAAGAAACTGTGCATCTATATTGAACCTAAAATAAATCTAAAATGATTATGATTAATATCTAAGACTCTTAAAGATTTTTTGATGAATGTACACACTCTCCTGACAAAAACTATTGGAGTTAGTAGTGTAAAAAAAAACATAATCAACTCAATAGTGCTATTTGTGAAAAAGTGATTTAATAAAGGGTTGACCGTAATAGTAATATTTTTTTACCGTATTGAACCGGAACAATCGAAATCCTACTTAATTACCTATTGTAATGTTTATATCCATGGCTTGAAGTTTTTTTAGATGTTATTAATTAAAAATCTGTACGTAAAGCATAGCGGGCTTTATTATAATTGGCTGATTCTTGAAGATCATCTTATCATAAATAATGAAGTCTTATAAGAAAATAAGAAATATTAAAGCAACGTTTTCCGTCACAAGATTGAATTCGAGCCATGAATATGAATTCCGAGGGGGTAAGACAAAAAAAAATTAGAAAGTTCATGCCTTATTTCATAAACTGTCAAATTAATTCGGTAATGCGCGAAATTTAGCGTTAGATGAGGTATGTTTGAACGTTTAACTTATGGGTTCAAAAAATCAAACTTGGCAATTTAAGCTGCCTTTTACGTATTTTGTGAAAACTTATTCTTCGTAATCCTAACTAATATAGAATCTTAACTATAATATAGGTTAAGAATATGAAGTTGAGAGTAATAAGGTTTATAGATTTCGTGAGAAGAGTTAAAGCGAAGTAGTGGTTATATCAATTGTTTAATGTTGGAGTAAACTAAAAAGTTGGTTTTGATTATTTTTTTATTAGCCATTAGTGTTCTAGAATAGGTTCAACATTTATTTCTTGTATTTTTGTTTTTGGTTTGTTTTTGGTTCCTTTTTTTTTTTATTTGTATATTTATATTTTTAGATTTAAAGTTATCGAGATTTCATGATAGACTTCTTCTGGTATTAATTTCTCTATAGATATAGTTATTTTTATAAATATCATTTTTTTTATTCGTGACAATTTGTTAAAGTTTTGAACTTCGATTAACCAATAAAATTTTTACTGCATCACGGGATGATCTACAAAAATTGGCCAATCACAATGAAAGCCCGAAATGCTCGTACAGTTAGGGATTGGAACCGCCTAAAATTTTTCTTAATCATTTAATCGTTTAATCGTTTAACCGTTTAACTTGGCCGGCATTAAGATAATTCCGGCCCACGACCAACATAATTCTGC